TGCCGGCTACTTTGGTGATTCATTCTATTGATGGATTCCTTCTCTGGACATCTGTGTCTAAGTGACACTTCTCTAGCAGATCGATATGCAGAGATCTTTCTACTGTTTTCCAGTAAGGGGCACTGAATTACAGGCATTTAGCTCTGTGGGACCCCAGTGCTTGACCCCCACTGGATCTCTGGCTGCCGTCAGTGTAGCCACAACGTGTGGAGGTTGGGTTGGCTGGGGAAACCCTGCCACTGTCTTTGTTTTGCTCTCCCAGGAATGGCGACCTTGGACCTCTGTGGGGAGAAATACTGATTCTGTAGTACCAGTTCTTGGGAACTGATAATGTGCTCTGGAACCTGACACCAAGGGTGAAGGGAGGAGTGAAGCTGAGAGGCTCCAGGGCAGCAGGGCTCCAGGGCTGTGTTTCTGTCTGGAACGCCGGCTGCCGGACAACCACGGATGCACTGTGCTGTGTCCTTGCCCAGTTGCCTGGGCTCAGCTCAGCTTGTACTGCTCACTCTTACAGGGATGTCCACCGGACCCCTTTGCTCCACCTGACTGAAGGGAGTGCCCGTCACAAGCAGCTTCCCCCACTGCTCGGGGCTGAGCCCCACCCTGGCTCCCAGCTGCAGGGCTGCATCCTGCCCGTCTGAGCCCTCCTCCCCCCTTCCCTCCCTCGTTGGCTCCCACTTGCCCACCTGTAGATGCTCCAATGTGAAGACCTCTCAGGAATGTGTGTGTTGAGTAGGGAATCCTTTGTTGAGTTATAGCTGTTCAAACTGTTGGACACTTCAGGGGGAGAGGACAAGGAACCTCTCGTGCCACCATTTCTCTGACGCCCTCTAAGTTTGGATGCTTTGCAGATTCACAATAAAGTGATAGGCTTTCCCTTTTCCTGGTAGAGGTGAACAGCAGAAGCAAGAAGACAATACTGGGCGTCTCTGTGCATTGACAAGACCATGGATTCTGCCGCTGTTCATGGAGTGCCTGTGAACGTCTGTGAGGTCCATTTGGTCTCATGTGTGGTTTAAGACCAGTTTTTTCTGGTTGATTTCTGCCTGGAGATCCATCTATTGCTGAAAGTGAGGTATTAAACCCCCTACTATTTGGTATTTGCTATTTTTCCCTTTAGATCTGTATTTTCTTAATATATTTAGATGCTCTGATGTTGGTTGCATGTATATTTACAGTTGTTTTATCTTCTTGGTTGATTGACCCATTTATCATTATTTATTGACCTTCCTTGTTTCTTGTTAACATTTCTGTCTTAAAGTCTATTTTGTCTGATAGACACACAGTTGACACTTGAACGATGTGGGGTTAGAGGCACCGACTTCCAGCAGAGTTGAAAATCGAGTATGACTACAGCCCCCTGCATACAGGAATTCCCAACCGTGGAGTCGACCCTCGAACCACACTGGTTTGAGCTGCTCGGGTCGTAGAACGGGACCTACACAGTTCAAACCTGTGCTGCTCGAGGGTGAACCACATAGCTACCCCTGCTCTTTGATTTCCAGATACATGGAGTATCTTTTTTATCCCTTCTCTTGGAGCTTGTGGCTTTTCTTTTTAATCCTCACCTGAGGACATTTTTCTGTTTACCTTCACATAGAGTGGGAGAGAGAGAAAGGGAGAAACATCGATGTGAGAGGGACATATCGACTGGTTGCCTCCCATGCGACCCTGACCCCGACCAGGGCCAGAGACAAACTGCAATTGAGGTGTGTGCCTTTGACCGGAATTAAACCCTGACTCATTGGTCCGCGGGCCCGATGCTCAAACCGCTGAGCCAAGCCAGCCAGCCAGGGCAACCTGTGTCTTTAAAAAGGAGGTGGGTCTCTTGTAGGCAGCAGGTGGTTGGGTCTTGTTTTTTAATTCACCCAGACATGGTACACCTTTTGATGGTGAATTCAATTCATTTACATTTAAAGTTCTTGATGTGTAAGAACTCATTAATGCTATCTTATTGTTCTGTTTTCTATTTGCATGGTTGCTTTCCCCCTCTGTTTCTGCCTACCACTGTACATTTGTCATTTTCCATGATGATATCTCAGTTCCCTTTATCTTTGTGCATCTACTCTGGGTGTTTGCTTTGTGGTCACCAGGAGGCTTACAGGTGACACCTCACAGACAGAACCGTTCACTTGAAGCTGTTAGCAACTTGGATCATCTACAAGAGCTTCACTTTTTACTACCCCTTTAAAAACTTTTTGGTCATTATTTACCTCTTTTATATTGTGTATTGTAACATTTTAGAGTACCTATTATTTTTAATACTCCTTTCCTTGACCTTTACACTACAGTGAAGTGGTTAACACACCATTTGATTACAGAATTAGTTTTTTAAGTCTGTATATTTGCCTTTACTAGTGTGTGGTGTATTTTCATGTCACTGATTATCACCTTTTCATTTCAGCTTGAAGAATTATTTTCCGCCTTTTGGATGGATAATCAGCTCCATGTGGGGAGGGAGGACTTGGAAAGCTCTGCTTATCCCACGTCTGCTGCATCCACACTCTTTCCTCCGGTGGCCTGCTGGACTCTCCACCAGGAAAGGCTGTTTCTGCATTTCTGTCTTCTGTGGGTGTCCGCCCAGGACAACACTCTCCAGGTTCTTCCTGGCAGTGGGGAGAGGGCATGGGGCAGGCTCCTTGCTCCAGTGGCTCCACAGCCCATATCGAGGAGTCTGCCTGCCAGCAGGTACACAGGTAGGTGAGTGAGCCTCCTCTTGGGCCCCATGGCCGGTGGTGCTGGACCCCACAGCAACCTCCAAGGTGCTTTCGTCCGTATGTGGATGTCTAATTCGTTGTTTAAAGAGGAGGACAAGGAGGAACGTCTTTTGCTGCCATGATGCTGATGTCACTCATGTGTTCCTCTTGCTCGAAACAGTTTCCTACTGTCTGCTGCTTCTCCTGTTCAGCAACAAGCTTCTCAAGAGGAGTCTTCTCCATCTTCACTCCTCTCACTGGTCTTCTGCAGTCGCTCGTGCCTGTTCCCAAGGCATCGCTGTCATCCCCCCTTCCTGTCTGCTGGCTTCCGTAATCTTGTCAACACTCTCATTACTTGGAATAAATTTACTTTTCTACACTCTTTAGCCCTGTTGATTTCTCTAGAGAAGAGTTTTTCTTTTTTAATACTCATCTGAGGATTAAAAAAAAATATTTTTTTAATTGATTTTAGAGAGGATGGGTTAGAAACATCGATGTGAGAAACACCAGCTGTACACTCCCCACTGGGGATGGAGCCTGCAACCTAGGCCTGTGCCTGACTGGAAATCGAACCTTCAGTTATACTCGACCCAATGTCAACAGTAGGAGCTACGTCTTGTCTTTGAAGACTTCATTAGGCCACTGGCCATCTCCAAGCAGTGGTAGAAGAGAACAGGAACAGGATATGGACTCTGAGTGGCCCTAGGTCTCAGCTTGCTCTCCAGGGTGAGGTTAAGAAGTTGGGCTGGATAAAGGTTTTCAAACTGCCCTCTAGAGCCACAGGGAACCTTAGGATGCTTCCCCAGGACTCCTTAACTAAAATGTCAACTTAGAACTTGACTGGATGAGTGCTCTCTCTCAAGTCCGACTCTGACAGACCACACACAAGCCTACCCTCAGAGCTCAAGTTCTGACTTTATCAGCTCCTAGGTACCAAGCAGGTCCTCTAATACACACTTGCTGATTATTGACTACAAATAAGATGCTGGTGAGGGCACACTCTTGGTAAGACAAAGCTGCTGTTTTAAGGTTGCACTGTCCAATATGGGGTGGTCATCAGCCACATACAAATGAAGGTGTGATGAAAGCACAAGACACATTCTGGATTTTGAAGACTTGGTGTAAAACAAGAATGTAAACTATTTCATTCATTGTTAAATATTGAAATGTTATATTGTATTTCACCCTATCACTTTCAGTTTATTAGATGTTTAGAATTACACAGGTATTTCATATTACATTTTCATTTACAGCACTGTTTATGCAGTTTATAATTCAGCTTAGCAGTGTTGATCTTGTGAATGCACATGCCCTTTAATACCTTGTCTCTCAGGTGTGCTCTGTGGCCAACAGAATCACTATCACCTGGAGGCTTGTAAGAGCAGAATCACCAGCTCCACTGACCCCAGACCTACTGAGTCAGATTCTGCACTTTAACAGATTCCCAGGTGATCCATGATGGGTGCGTTTGTGAGGCTCCAATCTACAGCACAGTAAGGACTGTGTCCCAACCAGTCGTTTTTGTTTCTCCAATCCTTTGGGTCAAGGATTACCCTGAGAGACCAGAGTCCTTCTAGGGTTGGGGAATCTACAGATGAGACCTAGGGATTTAGTATTTTACAAATACTAAATTTTGTGCATGTGGATTTTTCACAAAATGGCCCACTGATTTTCCTGAGTATAGAGTGGTTATGAAAGGGTGGTCCCATGAGCAACATTGGGAACTTGTTAGCAATGCACATGTGGGGGATCCGGACAGCACTGTTCAACAAGCTCTCCTGTGACCCTGACTCAGTAGATGAAGAACCACTGACTTAGATAAGGAAACAGGCTTTAGCCCTGGCCTGCGTGGCACAGTGGTTAGAGCATCAGCCTGCACATCAGAGGGTCACAGGTTTGATTCCAGTCAAGGGCATGTACCTGGATTGCAGGTCTGGTTCCCAGTACTGGACAGGGCCCATGCAGGAGGCAACCAGTTAATGTGTCTGTCTCACTGATCTCATTCCTCCTGCACCCCCACTCTCTCTAGAAATCAATGGGGAAATGTCCTCTGGGGAGGATTAACAAAAAAAAGAAAGAAAACAGACTTTGTAGTCAAACCTGAACTGTAACAGTATTTTGAGTCTTTTTGAAAGTAAGTGCAACTTAAATGTTTAAGTGAATGATTTTTCACAGTTTTTATATAAAGTTTAACAGTCACTAATGGATAACTCACTGTGTATAATTACCGAGTGACAGAGTTGTGTTTGATTTGGTATAGAAAATATAGAGGAATGGACTAAATCAACAATGTATTAAAGTCAGTTTTTTTAAATACATTTATTAACCAATGTTAACACATTAAATGAATCTATATATTGCTAGTCAGAGCAGCTTACGAAATGCCAGAATGTATCATAGAACTGGACAGCCACAATGAGTAATTACAATGTGCATAGTGGCTAAGCTCAACATCTTGATATAGCTTTATGATTTGCAGAAATTTTTTAATAATGATTTCTAAAACAATCGATTGTAATTGTACCTAAAACTTTTACAAAACCAGGCCACAATCTTTTTTTAATTTTGTTTTTTTTTTTAAACACACAGTTTTCACGCTGTAGTAACTTGGAAATGTGCAACCGTGTTGACGGAGACAAAAAAGCCAAAGTAACACGCATCTTACGTTCATGCAGCTATCAGTAAATAGTACACACTCTGGAATGGTTTTACATCGAAAGTATTTCCACAATAACTTGCTCTCATAGGGGTGGATCGAAGTTTTAAAACTTGAAAAAATGATCAAGAGAAGGTAAGTGTTCTTGGTTACAATGTCTCAACCAGACCACGGCACCGTGGCAACACTGACTAATCACACAGCAACAAGGAGGGACCGAGAGGCCAAGTCACTGCGTAATTCAGGGATGGTGTTGAAACAGCGCTGTGGGCAGTTCTTACCGGGCACCAGCTTGTTGATTCACCATCTGCAACAGCACCAGGACTGGGTGGATGATTATTTCACAGAAGACTTGGTTACATTTTTAACTTTAGGGTGACCCTGACAAACCTAGAGAAAACTTTTAAAAAGGTTTTTCTCCTGATTCTTTCTCTTACATTGTGTGTAATTGCTTTAATAAATATCAAAGGTCTAAATAAATATTTACAAATTATTTCTCTAACCTTAAAAAATAACTAAATGATAAATGAGAATTTGACTTTGTCTAAGATCAGTCTTTGAAAAAACATAAATTGTGAGATTTTTCTTTAAAAAAAAAAGTAATTTCGGTTTTTCTGGCTGTATTTTATATATCTATGTATAAAAAATCATTATTCAACTATCGATCCATTCCTATCGGTAATGCTTCTTCATCCAGACATTCCGCAAAATACAGACTTTTTACAAACCACAGCATCTTTAATACAAGAAAATTAACATGCATTATTCTTCATTCTGTGTACAGTGATGGGGTTCATTAGTAGACAATGACCCATTACCACAAACATAACGGCTTCTGTGAAACTTAAGTGCTTTCTTTCCTTTCAGCATTAACTTATAGTATAATAGGAGGTGACACCAGATAACAGGCAATCGATACTTGGGGAGGGGAGGGAAGCATTAAATAAATTTGTATGCCCCATCTATAATTTCATATATGGATTAAGGTAGTTTTTGGCTTACTTTTGTTTATTTTGTTACAAGCACTCATGTTAGGACAAAGATGAAATGTGCAAACTTTAAAATTTAAATATTCATTTTCTCTAAGATCCAGCTCAGTAAAAGATTACCCCAGTTCCCTGCAATTTTAAACTACAAGATCAAAGCTAATAATTTGTTATAAAAGTTATATATTGAAAAGAAATAATGAAAAACACAATTGGGAAATATTTAAGAAAAAATATGCAGGACTAGCACCTGCTGTGTCAACCCTGTTCCCTAAATTCAATCATATACCCACTGGCATAACCAATAGATAATGCCTTTAAACAGTAAATTAAGCTGAACAAAACCAGCTCAACAAGGTTAAGAAATAAACTTCACATCAAGGTAGTATGTTTTATTTCTGAAACAGTTCTGTAGTTCTTACATTCAGATCTATTTTAAATGTTTATTCATTAAACTCACTTGTATTCACCTGTTGTTTTTTAAAGATCTGTTGTTTAAAGGTTAAAATCTCTGTAAAACCTAAAAATGTTTTAAAATTTGCTGTAAATGCAACAAATTCTCAATTAAATTTTATTTAAAATAATACCCTCCACTGATGTTACTTTTACCCCCGAAAAACTCCAGAGGGACATTAACAAAAGATTTAAACTACTGTGCAAAATCTCTTCACGAAAAGTGTTTAAAGGCTGGTGCAAAATGGGAAGCAAATTCTAAACAATTTTGGCTTCTTGGAAACAAAAACCGTTGTGTCTGAGAAGAGCAATCATCGGTGACTCTCCAGCAAGAACCCGCCTTCATCTTTTCCGGCGGCAGGTGCGCTTGTGCTCGGCGTGCCAGTGCTCCTGCTGGCACTTGATGGAGCAGTAGGACGTGTTCCAGCAGCAGTGGTACATGGCCTCCTCCTCACAGTTGTAGCACTGCGGGAGAGAAAGCATGGCAAGTGTTTAAACTGGGGGTTGAATGCACAGGTAACTGGTTAACATTGTAAGCTTTTGAAGTTGTGATTTTAAAGATCTTTTTGGTTCAACCTTAAACTAACATCATCACCAAGAACGTCAGAATATGCTGTTATGTACTGAGCAGAATGACAGGAAACAATGGAATGACTGAGGCTGTGATACGTAGTCAGTTATCAGCAAATTCAAGCTTACCTGGCACAACAACTTGTTTTATCTCTACTGGGTCATTACCATCACCACATAAACATTTTCTATTTCCTTAAAAGGGTCTTGAGAGGATTCTGGGCAGATGACAAAATAGGAATCTGTCTTTCTAACTGGACAACAACTACACTGGTAGAATCTGTCTGAAGCAACTATTTTGGAGCTCTGGAGACTATTGAAGGCTTGCAACTTCCAGGGGAAGACTTGGACAGTAAGTTGTTAATTTTGGTCAATATCAGCACTTAGCAGAATAGCAGCTACCCACCACCATTCAGGCAGCTGTGTACATGTTCCTGGAGCAGCATGTGGGAGCCAGGGTGGTCGAACAGGGCCCTATTCTCCTAACAGCAGAGTCTGTGCTGATTGCTGACAGGCAGAGGGTGTGGTCAATGATGTTTCTCTCATTGTCACAAATCCCTTCTCTTCAGCTGAAGTGACTTCCAGGGAAGTTAAAGGGCCAGTGCCCTTTAATTTCCCCTTTTGGGAGCAGAAATAAAAGATTAGGACATTCAAAACCAACCGTGTATACAGGGAATATTAGTGAATATGCATGCCCTAGGAAAGGCTTAGAAAAGACCTAGAAGACATTTAGTTTACACCTCAGGCTGATTCTTGGCACAGCCAACAACAAACCCTAAAGAGGGGGCAGAAAAGGAGTTCCAGAGTTACCGTATTATTTGATTGAAATGTCCAGTGTTCCAAACAAAAAAAAAAGAATCAAGAGGCGTACAAAGAACAGAAATGTATGACCATTCAAAGGGTAAAAAAAAAAATCAACAGAAATTGTCCCTAAAGACAAACATACATTAGACAAAGACTTTAAAACAACTATTAATGATGCTCAAAGAACTAAAGGAAGATGTGGAGAAAATAAAAATGCGTGAACAAAATGGAAATATCAATGAAAAGAAACCAAAAAGAAAATCTGGAGCTGAAAAGTCCATGAACTGAAGTAAAAAATTCACCAGAGGGATTCAAAAGCAGATCTGACCAGGCACAAGACAGGAACAAGTGTAAGGAAGAGGAAGCAAAGACAGCTTATGGGACCTGTGGGGCACAACTGAGGACACCAAAATACACATTTTTGGATTCCCAGAAGAGAGAGAGAGAAGGGCAGGGAGAATATTTGGGAAGTTCTCAGCCATTACTTCTTCAATCTGATAAAAGATATGACTATAAACATTCAAAAAGCTCAATGAACGCTAAGAGACTCACATCAAGACACATTATAGCCAAAGTTAATAGAGAATCATAAAACATCCTGGCCAGGTAGCTCAGTTGGTTAGAGCATTGTCCTGATCTGCCAAGGTTGTGGGTTTGATCCCTGCTCAGGCACATAGAAGAATCAATCAATGAATGCATAAATAAGTGGAACAACAAATCAGTGTTTCTCTCTCTCTAAACTCAAATAAGAATTAAAAAAAAAAATCATAAAAGCAACAAGAGAGAAGCAAATTGCCACATATGGAGGATCATCAATATATGATCAGATTTCCCATCAGAAACTTTGGCTGCCAGAAGACAGTGGACTGATATATTCAAAGTGCTAAAAGAAAAAAACAGTAAAAACAGAAAATCCTATATTCAGCAAAACTGTCCTTCAAAAGAAAGAAAGAAATGTTTAAATCCCCAGATAAACAAAAGCTGAGGGAGTTCCAAAGATCTCAGTGAGGATTGATACTGGACGAGTGTAAAAGCTAGTGCTACTGTAACAATGGCTTACAGGTGTACATTTCTAGATGATTAAGAAATTAATACATTAAAAAAATGTGGGTTTATTTTTTTAGTATAAAATCTAGTATTACTCTAAGCTTTGTTCATAACTCCAAGCCTTGTTTTCTACATAATTTAGCAGATTAATGCAATTAAAATAATAAATTTATGGCCTGGCTGGTGTGGCTCAGTGGATTGAGCATCATCCCATGGACTGAGAGGTCCCAGTTCAATTCTCAGTCAGAGCACATGCCTGGGTTTCAGGCTCGATCACCAGTAGGGGGCGCGCAGGAGGCAGCTGATGGATGTTTCTCTCTCCCTCTAAAAAATCAATTAAAAATATTTTTAAAAAAATAATTTATGTTCTGAGGCACACAATGTACAGGGATGTAACTCTGTGACATCAATACTGAAAAGGGTGGGGACAGAGCTATAAAGGAGCAGTTTTTGTGTGTTATTGAAGTTAAACTGATATAACTTTAGGATACTAAATATAATCCCCATAGTAACCACAAAGGGCTATAGAATATACACCAAGGAAAGAAATTTAATCATTTCACAACAACAAAAATCCAAACACAAGACAGGAAACGAGGGACAAAAAGGTAGAGGGCATGTTAAAAACAAACACAATGACAGATGTCCACACGTATCTGTAATCTAAACTACATGGACTAAACTCTACAATCAAAAAGTACAGACTGGCACAATGGAGAGAAACACATGAGCCTACTCAGTTTCACTACAGATAGACATACACAGGCTGGAAGTGAAGGGATGGGACAAGATGTTCCATGCAAACAGAAACCTAAAGAGAGCACATTACTATCAAAGTAGACTTTCACGTTTTTAAAAAAGCTTACAGCCTGGCCCTTGTGGCTCAGTGATTGAGTGTCGACCCATGCACCAAGAAGTCACCGGTTCGATTCCCAGTCAGGGCATATGCCCAGGTTGTGAGCCTGTTCCCCAGTGGGGGGCATGCAGGAGGCAGCCAATCGATGTTCTCTCACCAATGTTTCTCTCTCCCCCCTCTCCTTTACTCTCTCTCTAAAACTCAATAAAAAGAGGGGGAAAAAAAGCTTACAAAGGAGTCAGACACACTATATACTTATTATATTTTCTTGCTGTATTAAACTTTTATTTATTTATTGTTAATCCTCACCTGAGGATATTTTTTCCACTGATTTTTAAGTGTGTAGGCTGACGTTCTAGCCACTAAGCCACACTCGCCAGGGCATGTATTGAACCTTTTATTAACATAAACATTTACATACCTAATAAAAGACCATCAAAATATATGAAGCAAAAACTGACAGAACTGAAGGGAGAAACAGACAGTAACAGTTGGTGACTTCAACACCCTACTCACAATAAGTAGAACAACCAGACAAAAGATAAGGAACTACACAATAAACTTAAACTACACAATAAACCAACTAGATCCAACAGACTTTTACAGAACAATCTCCCCAAAAAGAGTACACATTCTTCTCAAGTGCACATGGGACATTTCCCAGCACAGACCATATGTCAGCTTACAAATTACGTCTCAATATATTTAAAAAACTAGCTATCATACAAAGTATCTTTTCTGACCACAATGGGATCAAGTAAGCAATCAAAAACAAGACTGGAAAATTCACAAAATTGTGGAAATTAAACATATACTTTTTAAAAATTTATTTATTTATTTTATCCTCACCCAAAGACATTTTTTGATATTTTGTTCAGATAGAGTGGGAAGGAGAGAGAGAGAGAGAGAGAAACATCGACGTGAAAGGGACACATAGAGTGGTTGCCACACACACGACCCAACCAGAGCCAGGGACAAACTGCAACCGAGGTACATGCCCTTAGCGGGAACCGAACCCGGGTCTCTCTGGACCGCAGGCCGACGCTCCAACCGCTGAGCCAAACTGGCCAGGGCTAAACATGCACTTTTGAATAGCCAAATATATCAAATAAGAAATCACAAGGGAGACTTCTGGTCAAGATGGCAGCGTAGGTAAACGCGGTATCGCGTCCTCCCATAACCACATCAAAGTTACAACTAAACTACGGAACAACCATCATTCAAAGCCGCCTGAAATCAAGCTGAAAGGAAGTCCTACAAGTACGGAATTAAAGCAGCAGCCACATCGAGACTGGTAGGAGGGGCGGAGACGGACGGGCTGGTCCCACACCCACATGGAGCAGATAAAAATCAGGAGGATACCTTGGCTGGAAAAGTCCTCCCTGAGGGGTCCCTGTCCCACACCAGGTGCCCCGCTCAAGGTTCCAGTGCCAGGAAGAGAATCCCCATAACTTCTGGCTGGAAAAACCAGCGGGAACTGAGGCTCAGGGAGGATGAGGCGGCTGGAGCCCCAGACAGCTCCTCTTAAAGGGCCCACACACAGACTTACTCAGCCTTGCTCCCTTTAAGCTCAGAGGGGAGGCAGCTTCAGGGGCACCAGAGACATACAGGGAAGAACTGAGCTGTCTGGCTGGAGAGGGGGCTTTCTCCTGGACAGACGTGCTGTCAGAGGCCTTTGTTCCTTTGGTGAGCCCTTCCCTGGGGCGGCAGACAGTCGCCATATCTGGGACTCCAGCAACTTGGCTCACACTGTGTGCCCCGCCCTGGTGATTCCATGAGACCCCACCCAAGCTGTTGCCAGTTGCTTTACCATAGGATTTGCCTGTCTTGGATCCTGCTTCAGGTTTTACTAAATTCTTTCAAACAAGCAGCATCAGGTATCAGCTAGCCCCATACTCCCCGTTAAGTAATACATAGAAACAAACACAGGGAAGCAGCCAAAATGAGGAGACAAAGAAACGGGTCCCAAATGAAAGAACAGAACAAAACTCCAGGAAAAGAACTATGTGAAATGGAGATAAGCAACCTAACAGATGCTGAGTTCAAAACACTGCTTATAAGGATGTTCAATGAGTTTAATGAGAACCTCAGTGAACTCAGTGAGGGCCTCAAGAGCATAAAAGAGGAGCAGTCAGAAATAAAGAATGCACAGTCAGAAATGAAGGAGGCACTAACTGAAATAAAGAAT